ATAAACCCAGCCCCGTCCAGGACTGGAGTTGGCGGGTTTGGGTCCATACTGCCACAGCAGACCCCTTGTGGTCAGATCAGACCTGTCAGGTGGCTTTCCTTGCCAGTGGAGGAGACTTGGAAAAACCAGGGTGTTGTGGGCTACTGGTCAGGGCATACATCTTCCCTGGCAGCCAGGACCCCCACCCTCCCTCCCTCTCAGACTGAGCAGAGGTTGAAGGTGCCAAAGGGCCCTTCGAAATCTGTGTTTCATCCTCCCCCCTCACTGGGGTGCAAGTATGGACACTGAGGTCCAGAGAGGGCCAGTGGTCAGCCCAGGGTCACACAGCCAAGTTCCAGCAGACCCAGGCTTGGAACCCAGATCACCAGTCTCCCAGCCTAGACCTCTCTGTTCTGCTCCCCACAGTGGAGGGAGGGTAGGGGACAGGAAGTGAGCAGAGCTGGGGCCTAGGTTGGAGGCTGGGTTCTTGGTTACGCGCATCCTGAGCTCCCTGATCCTCTCAGCACAGCCAGGTGGGACTCTGGGAGGTGGGCAAAGGTCTTTGAGCTCCCGATCCCCAAGATTCCAGGAATCCCGTTTTGATAAGAGCCCCTGCTCTGAGCCAAGCGTTCCTCTCTATCATTTAATTTACCCTCAGGCCCGTCCTGGGAAGTGGTAGACTTGTCTCCATGCTACAAAGAAACTGAGGCTGAGAGAGGTGATGTCACTTGCCTGAGGTCACACAGAAGCTGAGGCAGGAGTGGAACCAGGCCAGCCTGGCTCCAGAGCCCCTGCCCTCTCCGCTTGGGTTCACATCTTAGTCAACATTATGGCGTTTGACCCCATCAATAACTCTCTGAAGGACACACTGTTCTCATCATCCCATTCTTCTTTGATAAATGCAAAAGCTGAGACCCAGAAAGGGGAGTGGCTTGCCAAGGTCACACAGCAGGTCTGAAGCCAAAGTCCCCAGAGATGGTTGGGTCACTTCAGGAGGCCTCAGACACAGGTGTTTGTTGAGCTTCTGTCCCCTCCCCACATCCTGCCTCAGCCTGTTCTGGGTCTGTCCCCTGAGCTGGGCAAGCCAGTTGTCCTCTGGACATTGCCTGTGCTCGTGATCCTAGCAGAGGGGTGGAATTCCACCTGTCTGTCTACCTGATTGGTTTCCTTTGCCTCATCTCTCTTCTCCAGACTAATCTTCTCCCGGCTGTTGTATCTGGAGGTCCCTGGAAGCCTCTGTGGCTCTGGGCCCAGCATTTGGAGCCAGGACAAAGGGAAGGGGCTGTGGGAGACCACCTCTGCCCTTTCCCTCTCTCCTGGCCTCCAGCCTGGCCTGCCCCCAGGCCTGTACTATGCTCTGGGCACTGGAAAGGAGGCAGACACCACCTCCTGAGAGCTTGGGTCTTGACCCATAAGCAGACGTACTGAATATGGATCCTGGGTCCAAGGTAGAGGGCAGCTTAGAACCTGAACCCCAGTCTCAATGCCCAGGCCAGGCTTCCCCAGGGTCCTTGGAGTGGTATGAGAAATGGGAAACCAGGGGATCTGTCAGTCATTCAAGCAGAGCCGGCTGGGGAAGAGGCTGGGTTCCAGGCCTGGCTGTGGTATCCTTTTGCTGTATGTGTGACTGTGGGTGCAACCCTGCCCCTCTCTGGGCTGTGTCTCTGTCGGTGCCGTGGGGCTCTCCTGGCTCCAAGAGCCTCTAAACTCGATGCCTGTGCTGGGGCTGACGGAAGAGGGATGAGGAATGGGGTACAGAAAGCAGGAGATGACATGGCCTGCCCAGCTCTGCCCTGGATGCTCACATGCTCAGGTTCTCCAGTGTGGCTGCATGCCCAGCCATGGCAGAGGCAGAGGAGGAGACCTGGCCCCTGTCCTCAGAGGTTTCCAGACACTGGTGGAGAGAAGACTGACAATTCCAGGTGACCCCCTGCTGAGGCAGATGTTCACAGGTCGACCACAGAGGCAGGAGTGGGCCAAGTAGGCAGGGGCCTCGAGGGGCTCTGCGGCTGAAGCAGGAGGGTGAGGTCTCTTGGGCGAGTGTGGCTGAGAACCTGCGGTTCCTCTTGCCACAGGAAACTGGGCAGTAGGGACCTGTCTCCTCTGACTTCCTGTCCTAGGGCTCCTCCCCTTCCCCTTTGGGGAAAGCTCTTGTGGCCCCTCCCTGGCCTGTGTCACTGTCCACCTGCTCCCACACCACAGGCCCCCTGGTGTCCAAGCTCTTAAGCCAGTGCTCAGGCCTGTCCCCAGTCAGTGCCTCATTCTCTCTCCTGTCAAATTCGGGATCATCTCAGGAGTCTCCAAGGGCCCCTCTTACTCTTCACAGTCCCTAGGACTCAAAAGGGTCATGGGGAAGGTGGGGACAGAGCCAGGGCCACGTGTTTTCTTTATGTCTTCCCACTGTCTTCGCCACTGTCCTGTGCTGTAGGTCTTATTAACCCCATCAAACAGATCCGGAAACTAAGGCATAGAGCAGGAGTTCACTTGTGCAAAGCCAAACAGCTAGAAGGTGGCTGAAGCAGGATCGGAACCCAGGTCCTTGGGACTCCAAGGCTTATATCTCTCTACTCCCTTGGGCCTGCTTATTAGCACCCTTGGGCTCTTCTGTCTCCAGGACCCTGTGGCTCACAACTTAGCCCTCTCTTCTGCTTTGGGTCTCCCTGTGCTGTGTCATTGTGGGAGGGCACCCTGGAGGGGACCTGGCTGGCCAAGAGCCCAGTCTTCTTATCTGTGGTGGCAGGGGCAGAAGTTTAGCTCGTTTTAGGGCCTTGGACTTGGTGAGTTCAGGTTCAGGCTGGGCCTCTGCCACCTGTGGGGCTCAGTTTCCCCATCTCTACAGGAAGTTGCTGGGCAGGTGGTTTGTAGAGGCCGTCCTGGCCTTAGGCCGTGGTAGGGGGGTCTGCACTGCTGGACACACAGTAAGGACAGGGAGCTAAGGCCTTGTCAGTCTGTGCCATCAGAGGTCCCTCGATGGGGCTCCTGACTCCAGGGTTAGGCCCTGAGGACCCTTGTCCTGGCTGGCTCTAGCTCTTGGCCTGGGGGCAGCTGGAGGAAGTAGCTCAAGAACTATCCTTAGGCAACAGGCTCCCAGAGAGCATGGCCCCAGGTAGTCAGCCTCCAGACCTTCAGGTGGGGGAGCTCAGAGAAGGGAAAGGTCAGAGGTCACTGGAGGCTTTAGGGAAGTCTTCCTGGAGGAGGTGCCTGGGTTGGCCTGTGGCTGTAGGGGAGAGAGCACAGGGTCCAGAGTCCTGGCCTTGTGGCTTCGGGCAGGCTGCTGTCCCCGCCTAGGCTCTAGGTTCCTTCTCTGTCAAATGTGGGTAGCAGGGGTGCCCTGCCTGTCTTCGGGGACTTCATGCATTCATTTGCTCCTTCAGTGAACACTCACCGATAACCTCTGTGCCTGGCCTGTGCTGGACACTGGGGACAGAGTGGGGAATCCAACCTGGACTCTGCCCTCAAGGAGCTCCCAGTTGGGTGCTGGGACAGACACTTGTCACAGGAGCTCTGGATACCCACAGGGGGCCTCTGAACCAGACATGGGGGCTTGGGAAGTCTTTACAGAAGAGGAATGCTGAGGCGATCCCTTTGGAATTGGCTGGAGAATGCAGAGTATCAGTTTGATAGCATCGGGAGCATTCCATACAGAGGACGGCCATGCAAAGGCCCGGAGGGGGGAAACAGGGCAGTGGTTAGGAGAGCTGTGGACAGTTGAGTGTAGGACGTGGAACGCAGGGGGCTGGAGGTGACTAGAGAGCTGGGCCAAGGCCCTAGGACATGGGTCCTGGAGGTCCTGGGGTGCCAGGGGCAGGTTTTAGACAAGGTGAGTGTAGGATGCTGCCGTATTTATTTGTCTGGACAGAGGACCGAGGGCTGCACTAAAGCAGGGGCTGTGGGGAGTGGAGCAGGGGATCACACGCAGAGAGATTTAGGAGGGATAATGGCAGGGACATGCCACTTACAGAGTAACTCTTTGCAGTGGGCAAACTGTGAAGTGTTGTGCAGGCCAGGAAGTAAGGTGGTATGGATGTGCAGCCCCCTGATGGCCAGGAACCCCTGGGAGTGGGGTGGGTGCCTCCAGTCAGTGTCCCCCTGGGGCTAGAAGAACCCTCAGCGCGCCCCCCCCCCCCCCCCCCCCCCCCCCCCCCCCCCCCCCCCCCCCCCCCCCCCCCCCCCCCCCCCCCCCCCCCCGCTGGCTCCGTGCCTCCACGCCCAGCTCCCCAGGCTCTGGCTTTTAAACTTTAACGAGCCCCAGCTCAGTTTCCAGCCGAGAGTCTTTAAAGTTTCAGGAGATGAGAGAAACGAGGGAGTCCTGGAGACAGATGGGTTTTCTTTCTTCCGCTGCATCTCCACGCCTGGCCGGCCGGCTGGAGCCAGGGCCATGGGCAGTGACCCCAGAGGCCTGACACTTTTCAGGGATCTGGGACCTCGGCCAGGCTGCTTCAGTCTGTTCCTGAGGGGCCAGTGGTCTCAGGCCTGGGGGCCAGGTTGCCACCAAGATAGATGGGGCTGGAAATCCTAGTCCAGCCCTGCCACCTTACCTTTGCCCCTGACCTGGGCAGGTGAGCATGCTCCAGCAACACGTGGGAGGAAAGCTGCTCAGACCAGGTGTGAGGCTGGAGGTGTCTCTGTTCTTCCCCATGCCTCACTTTATCCCCTCTGGCATGCTTGGGCTGGCCTCGATGCTCTGGGGCCCCTGGAGCCTCAGAAACACCGACAGTGGAAGAAAGTAGCAGGCCCAGAACTTAGTGGTGGGTCCCATGCCAAAAAACGGCTCCTCTTACCTGTCATTAAAGAGAGCCTGAGGCAGGTGGCATACCTGTCATTAAAGAGAGCCTGAGGCAGGTGGCATAGAGCAGGTGGGCCTTGTTCTCTGGGGCTTTAGCATAACAATTGCTTCCCTGCCTCTCAGCCTGGCTCCCTAGGGCAGCTACTTGCTACCTCTGATGTCTCTCAGAATCCTTCTGTCTTGGAGCAGGTGAACAAGGCCTGCACGTGTACACCCGCCCCCCCCCCCCGCCCCCCCTTCCCTCCCCCCACCTTGGGAAGTGGGGGTAAGTACTGATTTTGGTTTCTCCTGTGGTGCCTGGGCCATTTCATCTCATCCTTTGGGTTTCATGCCCAAAGCTGCATCTACCCCTGGTTCCCTGAGATCCCCTCTACCATCTCCTGGACCACCCCTCTCTGTCTTTGGACCCTTCCAGATTGCCTGGCACCTGGTACTGGACCAGGGAGGTGGTAAGTCTTAAGGCAGAGGCCTGACAACCAGAGAGGATGGAGTTCCCTTGTGTGTCTCCAACATTTGTTCAGTCAACACGTATTTATTGAGCACATATTATATGCCAAGAATATCCAGGAATTTAGTGGCAAACCAGGCAGATCAGGCCCTGCTGTCACGAGTTTACATCCTGAGAGAGAAAGCCAAGCAAAATAGAAGCAAACAAGTAACTAAATAAGATACCAGATGGTGGTTGTGTGTTATGAGAAAGGATGATGTGATGGGGGTTGTCCGGCCTCCTGTGTGTGGGCCTTCTGCGTGTGGAGCTGGATTGTAGGTGACTGTGTGTGTGATATGGTCTTTACTTGGGTAGACTGTGAGCCCCTCAGGGGCAGGACTGGGTTCCCCCGAAACTGTCCAAGTGACAGCCCCGGGGCAGGCACCTGACAAGGGTCATTAAATCCTATGGATTGGGTGTGTATGCTAGTACACGCCCAAGGTTGTGTGTCTGTGCCTCTGCGTGTGAGACTGTGTGTGTTTCTGTGTCTGGCATTACTGTGTGTGTGAGTCACGCCCCCTCACTGCAGCAGAGTTGTCTCTGATCCAATTATGTCTCCTCAACTGTCTCCCTGCACCTCCCGCCCCCTGCTCAGCTCTGGCTTTGCCTCGGGTTTTCCCCTCTCTGCCTCCATCCAGCCTCCTGTCTCTGCCTCTGGGCCTCTCTCTGGGTCTCAGAGTCTCCCCTCAGGGTGTATTTTCATCCCTGTCTCCGATAGTAACTGCCTCTGCCTTCGTGTCTCTACTTGTCCCCTTTCCTCTGTTTTTTTGTTTTTCCTGTCCCAGTTATTTGTTCAACAAACCTCTCCTCCTGCCTCTCACCCACTCTGCCAGCCACTGTGCTGGTGCTAGGGAACTGGAGATGGATCAGACCCAGCCCTGCTCTCAAGGCCTAGTAGGGAGACCGATGGAGACGGTGACAGCCCTTCTTGAGAACACAGGTGAGGGAGGCCAGTGGCTGAGAGCATAGTGGGGGCAGTGGTGTCTGGGTGGGACCTGGGGGACCCAGCAGGAGGCAGGTGGCATGCTGAGAAGATCTTGGTGAGTATCTCAGTGAGGTAGGCTCATGGGGCAGGGGTGCCGGCTGAGGGTGAGAAGGAACGGAGGCAGAGCCAGAGTGAGGGGGACGTTGGAGGCAGAGAGACAGCAGAGGGTTTCAAGCTGGGCAGTGCCATCATCATCTCTGGGTTTTAGGAAGCTCCCTGGCTGCAGGGGACAGATTGGCCTGGGAGCCAGGGGACCAGAGACAAGGATCCACTTGCAGTGGTCCAAACAAGGATGATGAGGCCTGCTTGGGGGTGGTGAAGAGGAGCTGTTGGGAAGGTCATGGCTGAGCAGAATCCCAGGGATGAGTGAGAGATGAGTCTACAACTTTGCCCAGATTCTAGGCACCGGAGGGGAGCGGAGGGGAGTGGGCGTTGGTGGGTGCATAATACAACAGTGGTAGATGTGGTGAGTGTTGTGCCTGTGGGCTGTCCAGGGGGTGATGCCTGGGAGGCTGTTGACACACTCTGGAGCTTACTAGAGAGCTTTGGGGGCATCAGGCCACTGGCAGTCCCTGAAGCCATGGGAAGTGTTTATCCAATTTGTCTTTGTCTTGATGTCTGTGTGTCAGCCCTGGCCCCTGTCTTGTCTCATTGGTCTCCCACCACCCCTCCCTTTTCTTCCAGGCCTTCTCACTCTCTGCCCTCTGCTCTCCCTCCTCTGTCTGGCTCCCCACTTCCCCCAGGGCTGGAGCAGAGTGGCGGAGGTCCAGACCAGGAGGTCAGCTTCTGAGATGTCAGAGCAGGATGTTCCCTACTGCTGCAGAGCTGGGGCCTGCCACTCTGGAGCCTGGGGCGTGGGAATGGGGGTCCAGGGAGCCTGCTGGAGACTGGGGGAAGGGAAGGAGGAAGGAGACAGAGCAGAGATGAGTCACTCAGCCCTGGATGGAGAGCAGCCGAGGGGCCTTGCTTGGTCTGCCTGAGCAGGCTCAGGGAGCTCTGTCTGGGGGAGGTGTGACAGCACCTCCACTCTCCGCCACAGTCTCGGGGGGCCCCACTTTTGGAGAGAAGATGGGTTGGGGGTATCTGGTGCCAGAGCCCCTTCCCTTCAGAAGAGAGGGCCACAGGGCTTATTTAGTCATTTTATAGGTGGGAATCCTGAGTCCGAAAGGAGAGGAAGGAAACTCTGCTTTGGGCCCACACCACACCACTTGTGCTTTCTGTGTCCTTCCAGCTCCCCTCACTGCAGACAGAGCCAGCTCCAACAGCCCCAGTCCCTAGCATCGACCCCCGCCCCACCAAGGACAGTCTTTACCTGGCCGGGCACTGGCCTACCTGGGATTCACTGGGCCCTTCACAGAGCAGAGCCTAGTGCTTAGGGAATGGCCTCAGGGGTGGCCTTTGGGTCACTGGGTTCCAGGCTGGTTCCTCACTTCACTTTTCTAAGCCACCATTTACAAATGGGCATAATCTTCCCTCCCACGTAATTGAGAGGATGGAATTTGCGAGGCCCCTAGCACAGAGCCTGGCATGGAGCTGGCACACCATTCACATTTGCTGAATGGATGAATGAATGAACAGTCTGAGGTACCCAAGGGGCAGCTCCATTTCCTCCCGCCTCCATCCTTATTCACTCAGATTACCTTGTGGAACTGCCCTCACTGTTCCTCAGCCAGTCCTGGCCGTTTCCAGGCCCCAGGCTCATGCCAGCATCTCTGCCAGGAGCTTCTTCCTCCTTACATCTGCTCCGCATCTGGGTGCCATCTGCTCTTCTGTTCATCCCTTAGGACTCCACTTAGGTGCCCCTCCCTGTATCTACATCCCCGACTTCCCTCTGTCCCTGCCCCGACTCCCCAGGGTTGTCAAGCTTGTGCTCCAGCCCAAGGGTGGAAGGGCCCTGAGTCCCCTCTGGCTCCACTCCCAACATGGCCACACCACGTGGAGCATTTCCAAGGTAACAGCATCAGCACGGCAGCCTCAGGCTCCATCTCAGCTGAGTCTAGGCTTCCGGGTTCAGGGAATGAGGACCTCGGGATTCAGGCAACACTCTAAACTTAGGGAAAAAATGTGTGGTTTCTATATCTTGCGTAAAGTGTATTGTACCAATAGTAACGAGAATCCAAAAGAAAAATAAATCACCCAGAGCCTCAATTCCAGAGTAAAACTTATCCTTGGTTCCTTCCAGCTCTCATCCAAGGATGTAGATAATCTATACATGGTTTAGACCACGGCACAGGGACAAGTTTGTATCCTCTTTTGTTCATTTCACATTGCACCTGTAGAAGTCTCTCGTATTGCTATAGGATTATTAGTTCACAAACATTTCCAGCACCTACTCCCTGCCAGCCTGTTCTGGGTTCTTAGGGCTCAGAGGCAGCTCAGCCCCTGCACCTGCTCTGGAGGAGCCCAGAGTCCTCAGTAGCTGGGCAATAATCATCCAGGTGATGTGTCATTCTTAACCCAGTCAGGCCCTGCTGTTGGTGGTGTTCCAGATTGTTCTCCAATTGTTGTTATGTGCCATCAGATCAGCTCTGACTCCTGGTGACCCTATGAACAAATGATGTCCACAGTGTCCTGTCCTCAACAGCCTTACTAGCTTCTGTAGATTCATGCCTATGGCTTCCTTTGTGGAGTCAGTCCATCTCCTATTTGGTCTTGCTATTTTCTGCCTGCCTTCTAGTTTTTCCAACATTATCATCTTTTCCAAAGAAGCCTGCCTTCTCTTGATGAGTCCAAAGTAGGACGGCCTCAGTTTTATCATTTTTGCCTCCAGCGATAGTTCAGGCTTAATTTGCTCTAAGACCCGCTTGTTCATCTTTCTGGCCGTCCAGGGTATCCGTAGAGCTCTCCTGCAACACCGTATTTCAAATGAATCATTTTTTCCCTGTCAGCCTTCCTCACTGTCCAGATTTCATACCCGTACATATAACTGGGACTATGAGGATGTGGGGAATCTTGGCCTTAGTCTCTAGGGACCCTTCCTTCCACTTGATGATCTTTCCTAATTCTTTCATTGCTGCCCTTGCGAGTCTCCGTCTCCATTCAAAGCGATGGCTGACCCAAGGTAACCAGGATCTTTCACAATTTCGGCGCCTTCACTGTCTACATTAAAGTTGTGTAGTTCTTCTGTAGTCATGACTTTTGTCTTGTATATGTGCAGATGCAGTCCTGCTTTGGCACTTTCTTCTTTCACTTTCGTCAGAAGTTGTTTCAAGTCATTGCTGCTTTCTGCCAGTAAGATAGTGTCATCTGCATATCTTAGATTGTTGATGTTTCTTCCACCAATTTTCACTTCTCTTTCATCTGAGTCTAGCTCAGCTTTTTGTATGGTATGTTCTGTGTACAGATTAAACCGATAGGGAGATAAAATGCACCCTTATCTGACATCTTTGCCTATAGGAGACCATTCTGCTTCTCTGTATTCTGTCCTGACAGTGGCTTCTTGTCACAGTACAGGTTACGCATCAGGACAATCAAGAGCTGAGGCTCACCCATTTGTTCCAGAGCAGCCCATAGTTTTTCATGATCCATGCAGTCAAAGGCTTCACTGTAGTCTATAAAACATAGACTACCCTTCTTCTGAAAGTTTTTGGTGCACTCCAGTAAACAACAAATAAATAATCTCAATTAGATCTCATGTGCCTCTTTCTTTTCGAAGTCCAGCTTGGACCTCAGGCGTTGCTTGCTCCATATGAGGTAAGCATATAAGGTAAGGTATAAGCACCTTGAGCATCACTTGACTTGCCTGGGAGATTAGAGCAACGGTCCTGTAGTCACTGTACTCCTTGGCATCTCCTTTCTTGGGGATTGAGTGTATATTGAGCATTTCCAGTCTGTAGATCACTGTTTTGTTTGCCATATTTGTTGGCGTATTCTTGTTAGGATTTTGACAGATTCAGTCTCTGTGGCTTGAAATAATTCTATCGTTCCCCTGCCCACCCTGTTGACTTATTTCTTCCCAGGACTTTCAGGGCAGCTTCCAAGACTTCACTTTCTAGAATTATGGGTTCTTCCTCATAGGAATCTTCTTCAAAGAAGTCTGTCATCCTTTTATCTTTTCTGCGTGGATCTCCAGTGGACTGTCTCCACTTTCCTCTATTTGCCCTTGATCAGATAGTGTGCCTTCCTGTTGGCTGTCCTGCATTCCTAGTCTAGGTTTAAATTTCCCTTTGATTTTTTGAATCTTCTGTAAGAGACCTCTTGTTCTCCTTGCTTTTGTTGTCTTCCATCTCTTCGCATTGGCCATCAGAGTGGTTCTCTTTATCTCTAAGTGATAGTCAAAGCTGCATTCAGAATTCAAACCCTGCTTTTGTCACCTTTTACTTTTACTTCTCGCCTGTCCTTAACAAGTTATAATTTTCCCCTGTCATCCATCTCGAGTGTTCTTTTTACTTCAGGCATTGTCTTCTCACGTTTTTCCTTAATAATATTTCTGGTTTCAGTCTAGAGTTCTTCTGATTTTTGGTCAACGAAGTCTAACAATGCAAATCTGTTTGTTACGTGGACTTGGAATTTGTTGGGAATGTTGTTTACGTTATATTCGGCTCTACGATTCTTGTAGTGCTCTTCCTGAGCTCCACTCTGATATTTGCTATGAACAGTTTGTGATCAGGACCACAATCTGCTCCTGGTTTTGTTTTGGCAGAGAGAATACAGCTTCTCCACCTCCTGCTTCCAGTTACGTAGTCTGTTTGATTTCTCTGTTGGCCGTCTGGTGATGTCCATGTCTACAGTCTTCTCTTCAGTTGCTTGAAGCATGGATTGCGATGGGCAGATCGTTGGCTTCGCAGAAATCCATGAGCTGGTCTCCTGCTTCATTTCTGACCCCTAGTCCAAATTTTCCAACCACGTTTGATTTTGCTTTATTTTCTACTTGTGCATTCCAGTCACCTATAATCATCAGCATGTCTTGTTTTGGTGTATGATCAATTTCTTCTTGGATACTTGCGTAAAAACTTTCAATTTCATCTTCTTCAGCATCTGTAGTTAGAGCATAGACTTGGATGATGGTTGTGTTAATAGGTTTTCCCAGAAGTCTGGTTGATATTATCCGTCAGCCCTTGCATTACAGCCCCTAACTGCCTGGGCCACATCTTGCCTCAGTATTAGAGCCACTCCATTTCCAATATATTGTTCTCAAACATATGTTACTAATTACGAATACAATAATATAGTCATGAATATTGTAACAGAACTTTTTCCTCACTTTTTTAAAATTTATTTTTTCCTCCTTCTTCTTCCCAAAGCCCCCCAGTACATAGTCGTATATTCCAGATGTAGATCCTTCTGGTGGTGCAATGTGGATGCTGCCTCAGTGTGGCTTGATGAGCAGTGCCATGTCTGCACCAAGGATCCAAACTGGCGAAACCCTGGACCGCTGAAGCAGAGCACGCAAACCTAACGGCTCTGCCACGGGGCCGGCCCCAAAAGATACATTTTTATGATTTTGAAAATATTTGCTAAATTGCTTTTCAGAATCGTGGAACCAATTTTTAGTAACAGTTTTACCATATCCTCACAAGCAGTGGGTACTTTATATATTTTCACTAATTTACTAAGTATAAATTGGTACCTTAGTACAATTTTAATTTACTTTTAACTATTAGAACTATTAAAGATCTTGAAGCAAGTCCTGGAATCTCCCCGAACCTGCCTCGACACCCCTTACCCCTCGACTCCATTTTAGAAGAGGATGATGGCAGAAGTAGTAATCAGCCTCAAGTGCCATAGAGATTTTTACAAGAGTCCAGGAGGTTTTCACAATGACTCTTCCTTCTGAATTCCACAGAAGCACTGAGGGCCACCGGCCATGGCCCAGCATTCTCAAAGTCAGAGAAGCTCACACAGACACAGCCTCTTTGTTGACTCACCTTCCATCCTGCCGTTCAGGCAACACTTCTTTATGGAACTGTGCCAGGCCCGGGGGATGCCAAGACAACTAAGGGGCCACAGCGCTGCTGGCACATCGGTGTGTTGCAGCGTGTGCTGATGGAGGGAGGCACTGAGGGTAGAGGAGTAGGTCCCCAGCGCAACCTGAAGAATTTAGGGACTGGGTGGGCTGCCTGGACAGGGGAGAGCCAGGCTGAAGTTTGAAGACAAAACAGGAAAGGAGCCAGCTAGGGGACGTCCTGGGAAACCATTCTAGGCAGACCTCGGGGAGGAATGCCTCAACCACTCACGGCAGGACCGATTGGACCTCCCTTCACATCCCCACCCCCCCACGCTTCCCCGACCCCTTGTGTCAGTGCCCTTGAGCTGCTCTTGAGATTTGGGGGGGGTGCAAGGGGAAGATCTTAGGGGTCTCCATTCTAGGGGCCCTAAAAACCAGAAGCAAGGGCAAGTACTCTATCAGCTTGGCTTGATGCTGGCCCTTGGGGCCTCTGGGAGGGGCAGAGTGGGGGGCTCTGGAGCCAGCAGGCTGTGAGCGGACCCTAGGAAGAGACTGGGAGCAGACAGGGCAGAGGGGCTTCTAGAGCTGGGCCTCTCATCTGCTGTGTGGCCCCTAGGCCCATCTCTGCTCTTGGCACCTGGTCTGCCAAGGGGAGGGCAGTCCCTGGCTATGGACTGTGAGAGTAGAGCAGGCGGATTTGTCAGGGCCCTGGGGTAGGAGGGCCACCCACCCGCTCCCTGTCCATCCACCCTGTGGAGGGACGTGGGGCATTTCTGTCTTTTTAAGCTTTGTTTCTCGTCCCTGTAGTCCTTCCCTTTGGGGATTAGCAGGAAGGGGCTCCGCTGGGCGGGGCCTGAGGAGTCAGGGAAAGCTGTGGGGCCTGGGGCTGGAGGAGGGGCAGCAGAGGCTTTGTGTACAGGTCTCATTAAATCCTCACCGCTCCACTCAGAAGGAGGGTTATCTCTGACAGATGAGTATCCTGGGACTCAGAGCTGATGTCCTTTGCCCAAGCGAAGGCCACACAGGCGGGACATGGCAGGGCAGAGGTCTGTTTGACCCAGAACACCATGTAAACGGTGAGTCTGTGGGGCCTGGCTGGGTCTGGTGGGGCCATGCCACAGCCAAAAGGTTCTCCGAGGGGGCTTCCAGGTGCAGAGCTCCAGGGCTGGGTCTTGGAAAAGCGTGGCCCTGTCTTTGAGCCCAAGGAAGTCTGAGGATCAAGTTAGGAAATTGGTCAAGAGGAAGAATCTCTGAGCTCTGCCACCCTGGCCAGCAAGCCCTCTGAATCCAATGAGCGCTGCCTAACAGCATCAGTTAACTACCGGCAGCCTCCACTTCCCGGAGTGTTTGTTTTAGCTGGACCAGTCCTGCCCCTTGATGAAGGCAGCACAAAGTCCTGACACTTTGGGGTCAGGTTCACCCAGGCTCTGGTTCTCTGCTTCACTATTGTTAGCCATGTGGCCTTGGTCAGTCATTGTAACTCTCTGGCCCTCAGTTTCTGCATCTGTAAAATGGGGATGATGATACCCATCAGGGTGGTGGGAGGGTAATAGACGATGTCTGCACAGGATGCAGCTTGGCGCCCTTGACAACTGGCAGAGGTGGTTTGACCTAAATTTCAGCCCCTGTGGGGTCCACAGTCCAGGTGCTGCTGTCTCCTTTGTGGGATGATGAATTAGTGATTTGGCGCACAGGGTAACGGTTATTGAGGCTGTGGCTGTAGTTCAGGGTTGGGATTGATTTGATGCTTAGTGCCCCACCCCCAGTCAGGAATGTGGCCTCTGATTTGAATACAGTTCTGTTGGGAAAGGGTGATTTGCCTAACAGTTATTCCTTTAAAATACTGTCTGCTAAAATGCAACCTGGTGAGCAGTCAGCACAGCCCGTGGGATGTCTCAGAGCCCAGATGAACCCCTTGCCCTTTTCTGGGCCTCAGTTTCCCCAGTGGTAACCTGAAGAGTGGTGAGTGGTGGTGGAAGAGATCATCGCCTAGGTCCCTTGGACTTTGGGACGATCTGTGTGCCCCACATATCCCACGGGCAAGGATATTGGAGACCTGCTGTGGGAGGTCTTGGGGTGAGGGCCAGACTGGGTCCACCCATCTGTCAGTTTGCTTATTACTGCCCTGGCCTTTGGCCCTCAAGGCCGCCCCACAGCCCCATGGAGGGGACCTGACTTCTTTTCCCCTGTCTCAGGTCGACTCTCTCCCTGGGTTCCCCCCACCACTTCCCTCCTCCTGTGGAGATTCCTCCTTCTCTAACGCTGAGCACTGGGAAGGCCTCCCAAAGGAGACTAGGACAAGGCTGGAGAGAGGGAACGGGGAGAGTGAGACATGGCTGGGCACTGGACCCTGCTCTCTCCTTATTTATTTAAGCCTCCAGGCCTTTGCACTCGCCAGTCCCTCTGCCTGAAATGCCCTCTCCCCCCTGTTCAGCTCCTTCTGCTTTTAGGCTCCATTGCCTTCCGTTCCCACAGTTCCCACAGACTCCAACCTGAGAATGCCTCTTCCCTCAGGGCCCGCATCTGGGGGCCTTACAGGTCCCAGGGCTTCTGGGCAATCCCAGTGCTCCACCTCATGGGGTTTGGAGAGAGCAGGTGCAAGGGGACACAGCCTGTAGTTTCTCTGGTGTCACTCACTCCCTCTGGGCCTCAGTTTTCTCAGCTGTAAAATGGCTGCATTTCAGACTTCCTGCTGTAACCAGGCTTCAAGGGCTTTGCAGCCGAGCATGGCTCCTTGGCGGAGCAACAGCTGCACACCCCCACCTGCCACCCACCTTCAGTTCTGGTTTGCAAGGGGAGCTCCCAGGTGTCCAGCCCAAGTGACTGACTAGGCCCGGGGCCTAATGGCTGTGGGTTCTGGTAACCTGCCCACCCACCAGCTGTTCTCCGATGACTCACCCCTACCCTCACTGGTCCCTCCTGAAGCCTCTTAGAATTACACCTTGCTGGTGTGGCAGCTGGCTGAAGCTGTGGGCAGGAACAATGCCGATGTAATTTACCCCTCTTGGCGCTGTGGTGCTGCCTCCTGGGGGCTCTGGAAAGAGCTGGGCCAGAAGCCAGGCCCATCGCCAAGGGACCAGGATGCCCGAGGACAAGGATGCTCTCCATTCTAGCCACCGGCCTGCCTCAGTTTCCTTGCCTGCAACATCACCGCTGCAGCCAGGGTCCTCCCAGTGCCCTCCTCCCAACAGGGCCCTGCTGCTGGCCTTCCTCCCCAAGAGTCTGCCATGAGCCGGGGAAATGATGTTTCCCTCTTAATCTTAAAGATAAAATGTTATGCAGAGTTTGCAGTTAACTGGTGCCTGTCTGTCTTGTGGCTCTGCGTGCTCCGCCCACCCACTGCCAGCTGTCTCAGAGCGAGGCCTTTGGCTCTGAAGCCCCACAGCAGTCCTGATCCAGGAGTCCCGAGGGAGAACAGGCAGTGTCTGGCAGGGTGGGCCCCTTCTCAGTGTGCACCCAGCCATGGGTGCCAGTGGGCCCTGGGGGCAGTGAGCCTGGCCCCGAGGGAGGAGGCATTCTCAGGTGGGATTCCAACCTACAGAGCATGTTTTTGTTGTCCCTGCCCCTCTCTACACTCACTGTCCAGGGTGACACGTGTGAGGACTTGCACAGCCAAACCTGTTTCCAAACTTGGATTTAGAGAAGTTCTGGTTTCCTCAGAAGCCACACTTGAGTGCTCCTTGATGGTTAGGGGTGCAGGAAGATCCGGTTTTGAATCCCTGCTCTGCTGCTTGCTTGCTCTCTGATTTGGGCAGGTTGCTTAATCCTCTGGGCCGCAGCCTTCTATTCTGCGCACAGGAAGGATTCCAGCTCGTACGTTTGGGGTGAAGAGTGAGTGTGTTGAATGTCTGGTGCAGCCCCAAGACCTCCACATGGCTGCTCACTAGAAGGTTGTCTGGATGCTCATGGCGGTCCCAGATCTGGTCTCTGTCTTCTCCAACCCCTTTCTCACCATCACATCCCTCCCATCACTTTGTCTAATCACTCATTCATTCATTCACTCACTCATGTTTTATTAGTCTTCTTTAGTCTAATATAGTTCCTGAGTCTTTCTTTGACTTTCATAACCTTGACACTTAGAGGCCAGTTATTTTCTCCCTCATGTTGGGTTTGTCTGATTTTCCTTGTGATTAGATTTAGGTTATGCATCTTTGCAGAAATATCACATAGGTGGTGCCTGAATTCTTTTCACTGAGTCCTGTCAGACGGCACCCGGTTGTCACTTGTCCCATTACTACTGATGTTCACTTTGATCTCTTGATTAAGGTGGTGTCTGCCAGGCTTCTCCACCATGAAATTACCCATTTGCCCTTTGTAATTAATGAGTCTTTGATGGGAAGCTACTTTGAAACTAAATAAATACCCCATTCATCATCAAACATTCAATTTATTTATTCATACCTGTATATACATCAGTTTCCTATTTTATTCAGTGGAATATAATCTGTTACTATCATTATTTATTTTAATACACAGGTCGTCCCAGCTTTAGCTTGTAGGGTGGCCAACTGTCCTGGTTTGCCTGGGATTCTTAATGCTAAAACTGGGAAAGCCCCAGCAAACCCTGACGATCTGGTCACGAAACCAGTGGGAGCCCTTCAGGCTGGCTCCTGTGTCTGCTGAGAAAGGTCCCTGTCATTCTGTGAGTGCTTCCTTGCTTTCTGGCACAATAAGATGTTCCAGGTTCATCCCGTACTAACTGTGACCGAGCCCTGGGCCCATGTATTTCTCCAAGAACCCCTGGAACCAGGACCTTTTGAGTTAGGCTGCACCACACGGTGGATGCAGGCCCTGGAGCAGATGGACTCGTCGACTTCCCTGCTGGCCACACTCTCGTCTGCCTCCACACCTGAGCCCTGGCTGTTCTCTCTGTTCTCACCTTCCAGGCTGAGCTTCTTTGTGAAGCCTGACCCCCCACCCTCCCCACAGAGCTGACCTCCTCCTCTCTGCCCCCTGGGCAGTTTTGGGCACCTGTCCACTTCTAAGTTGGTCTCCTCCCTCGACTGGAAGCCTCAAGGACAGGCCTCAGATTCATCTCTGACTTTTCCCTGCTCCCCACAGGGCTGGAACTGGGGGCTGTTCATTTAAAGATGGATCTAGTCATAGCCCTCATGGAGCAGAAAAGCAAACAGAGGGCAGAGAGGGAGGGTGACTTGTTCAGGGTCACACAGTGAGTCTTTGCAGGCTGGAGTCTGTCCTTGAACTTCAGTTTTCTTAATTCTAAAATGGGGCTAATACCTCAGAGCATTGCAGTAAGAATAAAATGCTGTAATATACAGTATAATGTGTGTGTAATGGTTTAGTACCTGGCCTGTGGTGAGTGCATCTCTCAGTATCTCTGGGGGACCTTATTATTTAAATTTTTTCATTATTGCAGAGGATGTACTATACACTTTAGAAAATTTGAAATCCAGACAGCAAAAAGAAAATAAAACCATCATATTTTTATCATTTAGAGATCGCCACTGTTAACACCTTAGCGAATGTACTTCCTGAGCTTTTTCTGTGCATATATTTCCCCCCACAAATGAGATTATACCGTGCATTCCATTTCGTTGTCTGCTTTTGTTCAGGTGGCAATCTCCGCCATTCTGTTTCAGTAAGTTTTCACCATATCTAATACTCAGGCCATATTCACATTTCCCCAGTCGTCCCAAATACGTCCTTGATCGCTGTTGTGTCCAAGCTAGGACGCAACCCGGGGCCACACTTCGTATCTGGTTGTTGTATCCTATAAGTCTCTTAGTCCAGCCAGGTCCCTTCTTTATGACATGGACCTGTAGGAGAGACTGGACCAGTAGCCCTGCAGAATGGCTCACCACCCGACTTCGTCTGGTTGTGTTCTCGTGATGACACTTAGCTTCTTCCTCTGTCCTCTGTGTCTTCTGTAAAGTGAAGTATGTCCAGGGCGCGATGAGTTCTCTGGTGCCTAGAATACTCGATAGGTGGTGATGTGTCCTTTCTTCCATCTGTGGTGCCAAGCCCTAACCCAGGATTGTGTGACTGTAAGGGGCTGCCTCCCTCATGGCTGCCTGTACCCCCTTCTAGTAGAAAGGAATGCGTGTGGTTCCCTTGGCACCATCTGAACACCCAGTTCTGGAGACCTTTTTAAGATTTTATTTTTTTCCTTTTTCTCCCCAAAGCCCCCTTTACATCGTTGTATATTCTTTGTTGTGGGTCCTTCTAGTTGTGGCATGTGGGACGCTGCCTCAATGTGGCTTGATGAGCAGTGCCATGTCCGTGCCCAGGATTCGAACCAACGAAACACTGGGCCGCCTGCAGCGGAGCGCGAAAACTTAACCACTCAGCCACGGGGCCAGCCCTTGGAGACCTTTTTATATGACACAAGAAAACTTGTCCATTTGCCGAGGGGAACTTGATCCAGAGGTTTGGGCTCTCAGGTGAAAAAAATCACAGAACAAGGACATGGACTGAGTTTCGTCTTGCTGAGTGCAAACCTAGTGAAACCTGGTTCTGTTTTCACTTGCTTTCCAGACATGTGATCTGGGTTAAATCCCAGCTCTGCTACTTACCAGCTCGGTGACCTTGCGCAAGTTACTTAACCTCTCTGAGTCTCAAGCTCCTCCTTGGATTTCTTGTTTGGCAAAGTTGTTGTGAGGATTAAATAAAAAAGGGAATCCTTGGCTGTTTTCTCCCCTAGGCGGAAAGCTCTTGGAGGGCAAGGCTAATAAAGAGTAAGAAATCCAAAGATATTTGTTGAAGGAAACAAAAAAGGAGGACAAGTGGTATGGCCGGGTGATAAGTACCATGGAGGAAAGAAAGAAACCCATTTAGGCATTTGTTTGCTCACTCACACTTTCATTTCATTTAACATGTGCTCATTCCAGGCTTGGGTCTCCACCCATGAGGACCTCGCAGGGGTCTGGGAGGGCACAGATAGAGAGACTTGGGTATGGAGCTCAGGAGGTCTGGCTGAGTAACTCAGGAAGGCTTCCTGAAGGAGCCTGGGACTACTGGGAAGGTCTGGTGGGGGCCGAGATGGGGAGATGGGCTCTGGATACAGGGGCTGTCTGTCTCCTGGCACAGGGGGCTTCTGGGAGGGCTGGACAGGGCTTGTGGCAAGAAGTGAGCCCGTGCTAACTTCAGAGGCCACTGTTCCTCCCTGTCCTCCTCCTCCTCCTCTCCCCTTTGCTTGTCCGCCCTCTGGTCCCTTGCCATGGCTCTGAGTCCTATGTGACGCTGACAACCCATGTGTCTGTCTGCAGTGCCGGATGGAGTGCCGCGATGTGCCAGCTGAGACACTCTACGACGTCCTACACGACATCGAATACCGAAAGAAGTGGGACAGCAATGTCATTGAGACTTTTGACATCGCCCGCTTGACAGTCAACGCCGACGTGGGCTATTACTCTTGTGAGCAGGCACAGGCCCTCTAGTCCCAGCGCCCTCTGCCTCCGTCCAGGCCTCCAGCCCAGCCTCTTCCTCCTGCCTTCCCTTTTTGTGGGCACTCCCATTGCCGGGCCGTTCAGAGACCTGAGTGCTGAGATGTAGGGCCGCCCTCCCTGACATCTCTGTCCACTCCCAGACCCTCAGGCACACACACGTATACTCACACACACATATGCATGTTCACCTACACACATTCCACACAAATCCTTCATACATAGTCATGGATGCAACCCACAGCCACATGCTCTCAGTCACACATTTTCATGTACACACTATTGTTCTCCCATATACTCACATTCACATATACAAACAAGCCAGGCCACAAGGTAAGGCTGTGTGAGGCTGTGAGGAGCAGGGATGGCCAGAGACAGGAGGGGAGGGGTCCTGCTCTGTCTCTTTCCTAATTCCAGCTCCGGGACTATGGTCTGGGGGGTTGGGGGGTACCTGTTTGGATCGGGGGGAGCCGTCCCTTAACTAGGCATCCCTGTGTCTCTGGCCTCTGCCACGCCCTCCCTTGCAGGCAGGCAGGCCAGTGATCTGGCTGAACTGTCCCTTGCCCTCCACAGGGAGGTGTCCAAAGCCCCTGAAGAACCGTGACGTCATCACCCTCCGCTCCTGGCTCCCCATGGGCACTGATTACATCATTATGAACTACTCAGTCAAGCATCCCGTGAGTTGACCTGCCTTCCCTGCTGAGTGGGCAGGGGAAGGTGCCAAGTAGGGATGGGCTGGCAGGGCTAGCTGAGGGAGAGGGCTGTAGCTGCCACCATGACTTCTCTGTGACTTCAGGCCAGGCACAAAGCCCTCTGGCCCTCAGTGTCCTTCCTGTAGAAAGAGAACAGTGGCTCCTTTCTCCCTGCTGGGACTCTCAAGCAGATGAGAAGAGGGCAGTGTGGGCCATCACTGTGGGCAAGTGGTTGGTTGGTTGGTTGGGCTCTGGGGCAGGCTGGCTGGGAAAGAGGGGAGCAAGAGGTGAGAGGGAGGGTCCCCAGGCCCTCCATGAGGTTGGGCTGCCTTGATCTCCATGGCAGGGAAGACAGGCAGGTACCGCTAGCCTGGGCAAGGAGGACTGTGTGTGTGTGTGAGTGCCCATGTGTGTGCTCTTGACCCCTGACGCCAGCCTGGTGTATTTCTGAAGGGGAACAGGGAAAACTTAAGAGGGGCAGGGATCACTTCGTCTGACTCCTCCTCTTCTCCTCACCCCAGCATCAGGCCTGGCCTGGAGTGGACGCCAGCAAATGTGAACTGTGTGTGTGTATGTCCTCACAAAGACACCTCCTTTGCCCCCGCCCTGAGTCTCACCTCCCTGTGCCTTCCATTCCCAGAAATACCCACCTCGGAAAGACTTGGTCCGAGCTGTGTCCATCCAGACGGGCTACCTCATCCAGAGCACGGGGCCCAAGAGCTGCGTCATCACCTACCTGGCCCAGGTGGACCCCAAAGGTGAGGGCTTGGCCCTGGCAGCCTATCATGGGATCCTTCCCTCTAGCACAGGGGATGGGGCTTGATCTACTAGGGAGCTAGAAGGACCTCTGTTAGGAACTGTTTTGTATTTCGGGGACATCTCCATCCAAAACATCATTTAAACTAAGGTTTGAGACTTTACAATGGTTTGAAAAGCAGGGGCTGAGGTGGTAGCCGCTGCTCCACAGCGAAGCTTGGAGCTCCTCCCTAGCCTTCCACACCCTTGTGCTCTGACTCGCTCCCGCTCACTGGCTGCTCCCACTCTGTCTGTCTTGCTGGCTCCCATCCTCTGTCCATCTTGGAGGCCTGCGTTTTCCAGGCTTCAGTCCTCTTTCCCTTGGGAGGGCTCAGCCACTCCCAAGGCTTCTGTGGCCAGCTGACCACATGTCTCTCTCTGCTGAGATCCAGATCCATGTGGCCTCCTGGACGTCTCCCTCAGGATGTCTTCTGGGACCTGGGACTCTCTGTGTCTAGTGCTCAGCTCACCATCTCCCCTCCTAACTTG